GAGCCTTTCTGTATCCCAGTCCTTGGTAGGAACTATAAACATCAGGCATTACCACTTTTAGTAGCAGACACTGTCTGCAAAAAACACACAGTTAACTTCAGAAAATGCAGCCTCTTAGAAGCGACTGAGCTGAAAAGTAAAATCACTAAACAGGATTGGTTCTGTTTAGCTCAAACCAGGACAATATTATAATATCATTATAGTACCTACACCTAGGTGTAACCCCCGCTGCTCTTGGGGGATGCTGAATCCATGAAAAAGGATGGATTATTCAGTTCTAATCCATCACAAGATTGAGCAGTAAATATATGAATCATGTATTAGTAAATATACTAATGGAGTACTGGTGTAAACTGTTGGGGATAGGTAGCTGGGAGTGACCCCATCCCAGTAAAAGCAGAGTGTAAAATATGTAGTCCCTTGCTTAGCCAGCAACTCAGAATGACCTGAGTGAAAGAAAAGCACCCAGAAAGGTCTGCGATTGTATTTCTAGCTGAAGTGTTAATGAATGTATCATGCTGATTGCTCAGGCAAGAATATCCAGTAATTAGCAGTTATGACTGTGGTATGAGTCCTGCGAGGCAGGTAACCACCCTGAAGGAACTGTCTGTATTTCAGTGTGCTGGTGGCAAGTGATGTGGGGAGATCTCAGAAATACTTTCAGAACTGGGGCTGGTTAGCTCAGTGGTTTGAGCGCGGTGCTGGCAACAAGGACCACCTCTGAGGTCGCGGGTTTGATTCCCGCTCGGTCCCCATGTGTTGCCAGGTCTAGTCGAGAGGTGGCGTCCCTGCCCAAAACAGGGAGGTTGGACTAGATGATCTCTAAGGTCGCTTCCAGCGACCATTCTATGATTCTATGATGAACAATGCAATAAACCACTGGAGGAGAGGAGTCTGAGGAAAAATCTCCATAGATAATCCTGGAGCAAGGAGTGCAGTGTCCCTCGCATCAAACCGTGGAAGTCAGTTGTGCTAAGCCCCACCTTGAGTACTGCATCCACGTTTGGGCCCCTCACTACAAGAGGGACATTGAGGTGCTGGAGAGGGTACAGAGGGAGCTGCCAAGCTGATGAAGGGCTTAGAACACAAGTCAGATGAGGAAAGGCTGAGGGATCTGGGGCTGTTTAGCCTGGAGAAGAGGAGACTGAGGGGAGACCTCATCGCTCTCTACAACTACCTGAAGGGAGGTTGTAGTGAGGCAGGGGTTGGTCTGTTCTCCCTAGTGGAGAGTGATAGGAGGAGGGGAAATGGATTTAAATTGCTCCAGGGGAGGTTCAGGTTAGATATTAGGACAAATTTATTTACTGAAAGGGTTGTCAGGCATTGGAACGGGCTGCCCAGGGAGGTGGCTGAGTCACCGTCCCTGGAGGTGTTTAAGAGATGGGTTGATGTTGTGTTGGGGGGAATCATTTAGTGGGTGGATAGGGCTGAGACAAAGGCTGGACTCAATGATCATCCAGGTCTCTTCCAGCTGATAGGATTCTATGATTTCCTAAGACAATTAAACTGGAATCACACTATGACAGGAAGAAGGTTTAAGAATATTTTTCCTGCCTTTCATAGTGTCATTGCTTTTTCACACTCACGGTAAAAAAAAAAAAAAAACCAACAGTGAAGTCACAGCTGAAGTGTTTTTAAAATGTCACTCCTGTAGTGCTAACATCCTGTCTTTTCCATCAATCTTGTATGCCTGTTTTCATTGTGTCTTGCTCTAAGGATACTGCAGAATTGAAAAAAAAGTGCAGCCTTTCTCTGCTGATCAACTTTAGTTCATATCAGACACTTCATAAAAAGCACAGTTAGTGTATGACAGCAGAATCTGTCAGAAGAATCTATCAGTACTTAAAAAAAAAAATACACCTTGGATGTGAAGGGCATGAAGTTCAACAAGGCCAAGGCCAAGGCCCTGCACCTGGGTCAGGGCAATCCCAAGCACAAGTACAGACTGTGTGATGGGTGGATTGAGAGCAGCCCGGCAGAGAAGGACTTGGGGTTGCTGGTAGATGAGGGGCTCAACGTGAGCCAGCAGTGTGCCCTCTCAGCCCAGAAAGCTAATCGCATCCTGGACCGCATCAAGAGAAGCGTGGCCAGCAGGTCAGGGGAGGGGATTCTGCCCCTCTGCTCTCGGTGAGACCCCACTTGCAGTTCTGTGTTCAGCTCTGGGGGCGTCCCCAGAGCTGCTTGAACAGGTCCAGAAGAGGCCACAAAGATGGTCAGGGGGCTGGAGCACCTCCAATACGAGGACAGGCTCAGAGAGCTGGGACCATTCAGCCTGGAGCAGAGAAGACTCTGGGGAGACCTTAGCACAGCCTTCCAGTACCTGAAGGGGCTACAGGAAGGGACTGTTTGCAAGGGCATGTAGTGACAGGACAAGGGGCAATGGTTTTAAACTAGAGCAGGAGAGATTTAGACTAGATATCTGGAAGAAGTTCTTTACGATGAAGGTGGTGAAACACTGGCACAGGTTGCCCAGAGAGGTGGTGGAGGCTCCATCCCTGGAGACACTCAAGGCCAGGCTGGATGGGGCTCTGAGCAACCTGACCTAGTTAAAGATGTCTCTGCCCACTGCTGGGGGGTTGGACTAGATGACCTTCAAAGGTCCCTTCCAGCTCAACACATTCTGTGATTCTAAATCACTTCTTAGTTCAAATTGTGAGCAGGGCTTTGCAGAAATCCAGTGAAGAGGAAATGGCAGGGTGAGAGTGATCTGTAAAACAACAAAAAAAAAAAATGTCAAAAGCTTTTTAGGGGCTTGGTCTTTGAGGACAAAGTCAAGATTTGCCGCTGTTCATATGGAAGATGGAGGAATGGGTGAGTCTGGCGGGTGGCTGTAGCTGCAGGGAAGGAATATGTGATGAGGAGATGTGGTGTTAGAGGTGGGGAGCAGTCGCTGTGCCTAGCTCTTTTGAACCCAGAGTTATTTCTCAAGAGGGAAGAGGAAGGTAAAAAGATCAGGTCTTTGAGGACAAAGTCAAGATTTGCCGCTGTTCATATGGAAGATGGAGGAATGGGTGAGTCTGGCGGGTGGCTGTAGCTGCAGGGAAGGAATATGTGATGAGGAGATGTGGTGTTAGAGGTGGGGAGCAGTCGCTGTGCCTAGCTCTTTTGAACCCAGAGTTATTTCTCAAGAGGGAAGAGGAAGGTAAAAAGATCATCATAGCCGTGGGAAGGGTCGTGTCTGCCTCAGTTCTTGGAAGGCTGTGGGAGGAACATGGACAAAGCACCAGGTCTTTGTGGAAAACATTGGCTGAGATTTCAGTATTGTGAGCCGGTGAGTGGCAGCACAGTTGGGGCTCCTTGACAGCAGTGGTTTGTCAACAGAGACAGAACTCCTTTCATTTTGCAAACTATAGTAATAAAGATTGTGCCTCTTGATCTGTGTGCCTTTGCTGTTACAGCTAAAACAGCCTGTAGCTCCTCTTCCTTCTTGAGGAAGGGCTCTACCTGCTGTGTTGATTGATTGAAGCTCATGGGAGACAGAGGAAGATTTAACACTGACTTGAGGGCTTCTCTTCCTAAGTTTAACTAAACAGATAGCCTTAAAACATGTTTCAGAGTTCAGATTTGCAGAGGGAGAACACAAAACAGGGAAGCCCCTGCATTTTTGGGGTGGCAGCAGTGTTGTGACAGTGTAAAATAATTGGTTTAATTAAAATTCTCCAAAGACAGGAAATCCTACTTTCTGAGCATAACCCAAGGAAAGAGCTATGTGCCGCTGTACAGAGCACTTGGTAGCGCAGCGCCAGTCGCTGCTGCAGAGGCATCTGCTGGGCTGTGGCGGTGCTCTAGTGCTTATTTCCAAAGTCCCTGGGGACTGAACAACTTATCTGCAGGTCCTGGAAGTTCAGTATCTGTGGATCGTAGTCCTGCTTCTCTCCCTCCAAAAAAAGTCTTGATTGGTGCGTTTACATAAAAACGTTCTGGGACCATGCTACAGGATGCAGAGGCACTGTTCTCCAAGGGAGTCCCGTTCTCATGCCCTTCAGAAGAAAAAAACTTTCAAGAATTTAATATTTGAAAGCAACGGAGATTTTATTATCCTTTAGATTATTTCCCTCTTTTTTGTAACCTCCGTACTGAAGGCAATATGAGAAAACCTCCATTTTCTATTTATGTGTTATGTGTACGCTTTTCCAACACACAATTTCTCCTGTATCACTAGCAGGAAAATTTTAAAGTAATGAGAGGTTGAACTAGCACAACCATTTTCCACTGTGACAGGGGAAAATGCAATTACATATTTTAAAGCCTTTATAAGCCATTTTAAAATAACAGCTATGTGCATCAGAATGTACTTTTCTCAGGTAAAAACAATTTAAGAAATTTTAAATTTAATTCAATTATTAATTAAAATTAGATTAATTTAAATTACATTTAAAAAGGCAAGACTTTCAACTCAGACAGGTATTTCTGTACAAATGGAAATTTTTGTTGTTGAGGGTATTAAGCTTCAAAGACAAGAACTGAGATTACCTGAAAAAGTACTTCTAGTTTTTCCTTTAAAAAATAAAAGGGGGAGGAAGGAAATTAAATTTTTGCTGATAGTCATTCTCCTTCTAGTTACAAAAAAAAAGGCTCCAAAGACAAATTAACAGCATAGAAAACTATAATTACTTAGACACCTTAAACAACTCAGATGTCCAGCAACAGAAACAAAAGTCATTTTCAGACTAACTGCATTTCGGTTACAGCAATTCAAACACCTTGTTCCAAAACAATGAAGAGTTCTGGTTATAAAATGCATCGTTTGATATACATAAATCACATTTGTAATATTTTTGGTTCCAGCCAGAATCAAGTAAAAGAAAAATCCAGACAAGTGTGACTGCTGCTGCTGCAGCGCAGAGCCGTTCGCCCAGTCACACCTGAGGTGTCTGCCTCAATCACCGGCATCACGTGGCAAGTGTCAACTGGTCTTGCAACAGTTTTCAAGCACAAATCGTGTTGTAAAGCAAAACTGTGTCCCTATCAAACTGAGTAACCTTTGCTCTGTGTCACAGGAATCATGTACCGCAAATCCTGCGCGTCTTCAGCAGCGTGTCTGATCGCCTCTGCTGGGTACCAGTCCTTCTGTTCTCCGGGGAAGGTGAACTCTGTTTGTATCAGCTGCTGCAACACTCCGCTCTGCAACGGGCCCCGGCCGAAGAAGAGGGGGAATTCTGGCGTGGTGCCAAGGGCACACGTGATAACCACGGTTATGCTCCTTAAATTGGCTCTGTTGGTTTTGTATGGCTAAACTTCAAGCAAGATTTTTTTTTTTTTTTTTTTGCCCTGACACACACAGTTTGTTCTGTCTCCTTTCTTCAAAGACACTGCAATTATTTTCTGTTTGTTTCCAAATCCTTGTCAACAGCAAGGGAGATTCAGTGGTCGTAGGGAGAGAGTAGCTGGTATTTTTGGCAGCTAATGAATTCAGTTAGCAGATTGAATTTCCAGTGTGCACTTAGAAGTCCCAGCAGCAGGATACAGAACTCCTGCTCTTTTCACATAACTGGAAATAAATCCATCTGTGCTTTTCCTGTCAAAATGTAGACAATTCCTCAGTCATTCTAATTTCCATTTTTTTAAGTTCATTGGTAATCATTAACTTTGCCTTATGAGGTCATACTTGATGTTCATGAAGGCCATTCTGTGCGTCAGGACAGGGCTCCGAGCTAGTCTCTAGTGGCACCACTTCCAAGCTTGGCTCCGATGGTTCAAGACCTGGTTTCTGGGGACTGCAGTCAGGCTCAGTCTGTCTCTGAAAAGTACTTAAGAAAACCTTGTTATTGCCCCTTGTAGAAGAACTACGCCTAGAGGAAATGAAGAGCAGCGGGCGTAGAGACCGGCTGCTCCTTGCTCTGGAGCTCAGGTTGGCTCTGAGAAACTTCTCCTTGTTGGCATGCTCGATCGTCAGGCGGCAGCGGAGGACCTGCAGAAACACGCTGCGGAACTGCTGAGAAGAGATGTTGTACAGGAGGGGGTTCACCACCGAGCTGAGGTAGAAGAAGATGTCGGCGATGGGCAGAAGAGTGATGTACGCTCTGAAGTAAGGGACGGTCCAGTCCTGCTTTGGTTTAGCGGCAGCCATGATCCTTCTAACCTGGTTTGGCATCCAGCATATTGCCAGAGTTGCAACAATCAGTCCTGTGAACAGAAAGAGGAAGAGGTGTGCATACATGGGGGAGAAACCATAAAATACTTACTATCAGTTCTGCACTTACTTGTTAGGAAATAATACCAATTTTTCAATGTTTTCCTTGACAGCTTTTTCTGCCAGTAGTGTTGGTATTTTGTTTGTCATTTTTAACAACCGTTACAAGGTCATTGCAGCACATGCTTTGGCAGAAGATGCACAGTGCTGGGATAGTGCTCCTTCATAGAACCACAGAAAGGTTTGGGTTTGAAGGGACCTTAAAAGATCATGTAGTTCCAACCTCCCTGCCACAGGCAGGGACACCTCCCACTAGACCAGGTTGCTCAAAGTCCCGTCCAGCCTGGCCTTGGACACTTCTCGGGAGGAGGCACCCACAACTTCTCTGGGCAACATCCGTTAGGGTCTCGCCACCCTCAGATAACTCCTTCCTTCTATCTAATCTAAATCTACCCTTTTCCAGTTTGAAACTGTTACCCTCATCACTACACTCCCTGGTAAAGACTCCCTTCTCTTGTTTCCCCATAGGGCGCCTTTAAGTGCTGGCACGCCACTCTGAAGTCTCCCCGGAGCCTTCTCGTTTCCAGGCTGAACAGCCCCAACTCTCTGAGCCTGTCCTCACAGGGAAGGTGCTCCAGCCCCCAGTTATCTTTGTGGCCTCCTCTAGACCTGCTCCAGCAGGTCTGTGTCCTTGCTGTGTTGAGGGCCCCAGAGCTGAACACAGAACTGCAGGTGAGGCCTCTCAGGAGCAGAGCTGAGGAGGAGAATCCCCTCCCTTGGCCTGCTGGCCACGCTTCTTTCAATGCAGCCCAGGATGTAGTTGGCTTTCTGGGCTGTGAGAGCACACATTGCCAGCTCGTGCAGTTTTTCATCCCCCCAACACCCCCAAGTCCTTCTCCGTAGGGCTGCTCTCAATCCACTCATCGCCCCGCCTGTGTTTGTGTTTGGGATTGCCCTGACTCATGTGCAGGACCTTGTACCTTCGTTGTATGTATTGTCATTTATTACTTTTCAAAGGGTTCTTTCACTGATGTCTGTATCTTTGGAAAAAAATTTTTATTTTTAGTTTGTGTTCTTACATTTTTTATGTTTTTCCCTTTACTTTGAAAAATAAACAGAATAAATAGAACCTATAGCCATATTAGATCAGGCAATACCCAGAAGAGATCAGATTCTTGTTTGTACTTTACAAAAAAGAAAATGTATGCATAATAATATATTTTGTGTTATTTTTGGTAAATTTCCTCTTACAAAAGATATTTTTAAGTAAAATATGTATGGATCTTTTTATGGTTATTACGATACGTTGGGCTTTCTTAAAAATCAAATTCCAGTGGAATTAAATTATTAATGTAAATGAGAAAAACCCAAGCCTAGTCATGAAAGTGTAAGCAGTTTCAGATTATAAATTATGCTTAAAAATGTGGTATCTGACCATTTTGTATTTATATGAATATATAAATACACATTGCTGCATCACTAATGGCATTAAAAAAGGGGGTGACTTAAATATTGGATGTCTGAAAATTCTGCCTCTGTGGACCGGCGTTCCCTAGAGCGGCAGTGGCGATGCCGTCCCCAGCACGGCAGCCCTGAAGAAGGGTGTGGGTCAGCTGGAGCAGGCTCTGTTCCAGGGCAGGAGCCGGAGCTGTGGAAAGGCGCTCACATCCTCCTCGGCATCCCCTGCTCCACGTGCAGGTAAGCGCTGGAAATCCTGGCGTCTTGCATAAAATACCAGGTCCGCACAAAAACAAAACAAAAAAATCCCCCGTTTACTCCCCCCCAGCAAGCATTACTTCTGAAACCCAGCTCCGATACCAGTTTACTGTTTCCACTTTGTTTTTTTTCTTTTCAGGAAACGTGCCTTATGTGAGCACTGTGAGGGAGCAGAAGCAGCAGATCGGCTTCCCTGCTGCAGAGGCACAAAACGGTACCGAGCATCCTGGCGGTGCGCGGGTTCCACTTCCAGGAGACTCTGCTTACATTGTTCATCTCCTCCAATGTCTCATCGCCTTTCTCAACACAAGCACAGAAGCTTTTTAATTCTTACCTGTCTAGAGTAAGTCAGATTGCCCCCATCAAACAGATCGTTGGAGGAACGCAGTTCTGAGACAGTGCACACTGATTTTTCAAGCCAGGAAAATGATACTTCACTAGTGGGAAGACATGAATATAATGGGGAAGGGAGGCAGAGAAGATTTTTCTTAACTTTGAAACTGCGAGGGCTTAAACAGGTCCAAGTTCTCTTCACTACCATCCACGAGCAAAGAAAAGGTATGAAATGTCTTTTTTCTCTTTTTTTTTTAAGAATTTTGTTAGTGAAAGCTATAATTAACAAAATTATGATCTCACTGAAAGAGCTACCAAATAAAAGTTGTGCTTTTGATCATTTGCTTCTGTAATCATTTAATGTTACAGTAGTTTTGGTAGGCTGAGGAAGTAGCATATCTCAAATTTGCAGCACTAGATGAAGAGCCCTGGAAGGCCAACAAGTGATAAATGCATTTACCTTTGCTCTTTTCTGTTCTTGAAGCACCAGAGCTCTCCTCAGCCACAGTCATGTTATTCTCATTCCCATTTTGACACAATCCCTTTGCTTGGCTGCCCTGCTCTTCCCCTGCTGCCTTGCTTCACTTTCCAGTACCTGTAGTGTCTCTGTCAAAGTCTCATCTGAACTTTTGAATCAGTCCTGCAAATTTTCTATCGTTTGGTTCTTCTTTCTCTGCTGTCAGTGTCACAAATACAGGGACAGCCCTCCTGGCACAGACCAGCAGAAAATAAGGAGCCCTTAGCAGTGACTTGTGACAGGCCTTATAAAAAGGCAGCCCAAGGATGCTGCTGCTCCGTTGTGGCTTCTTTCTCCCATGGAACTTAAACACAAAGCCCACAAAACCAGGTCTGCAGAATTCTTGTCAAATTTTGCTGGATGATCTCCTTAAAGGAGAAAGAAAATAAGCTTTAGAGTGTAATTTTTTTTGTTCTTAGATAGAAACAGGATACTTCATGCTGATCAAGAGTTTCCTAAATTAGGAGTGCTGCTGTGAAAAACTGAGCAAACAATGTGTGCATTCAGTTTTAAAGCTCAAATGTGGTGCCCTGAGATGTCTCAGTTTTTTGCTTGTATCTGAATTCTTTGCAATTGACCTTTCTTTTTAGTTCAAACTGCCAAATGCTTAAGACTCCCCCTTATATTCTTCAGACTCTCTTGTTCTGGGGAACTGGATATTTCATTGTGTGTACAGCAAGTGAAAAATGAGCTACTTGCGCCCTTGCTCAGTGCGGTGAGGTTAGTCCTTTCGCAGGGTGGGAGGAGATACTTGTAAAAGTTCATGTTTTCCAAGATGAGTAATTCATTTTTACATTTGAAACAAAAGTTTGTTGATTCAAAGGAGATGCACCATATAAATAAACATACTGACAAATTCACAGTATTTTTTCCAATGGCTCACACTTGACATGGAGCTATGAAGTGAACTGAATGAAGCACATCAGAAGGAAAGCTTCGTGTTCTATTTTGACTGACTTATACTTCAGTTTGAACTTGTACACAGGCTGTAGAAGTTTGTGTTGTGCTGTAACGTGCAGAAGGTGCTTAAATGTCATTGTAGCAGCTTGAACGTAAACCAGAGTGCATCTCTCACCAGTATGGAAAGCTTCATGTTCAGACCTTAGCGTATTAAATATTTTGACTGACTTATACTTCAGTTTGAACTTGTACACAGGCTGTAGAAGTTTGTGTTGTGCTGTAACGTGCAGAAGGTGCTTAAATGCCATTGTAGCAGCTTGAACGTAAACCAGAGTGCATCTCTCACCAGTATGGATGCATTTTTCTATTGCAGCCCACTAGGAACTCCTTCACATTACAGCTCATGCCCAACTTTCTCTTCCACTCCTGCTTATTAAAGTGCAAAGAATTAGTAGCTCTATTTTGGTTTTTTTTTTCCATTTTCCTGACTATTGCATTGAAGTGACACACTCGATGAGAACAGATTTATCTTCCATGGAGTAATGATGTTTATAAACAAAGTAATGCTGTGGTCCAGTGACCTCCATCACTGGTGCTTGAAATTTCCAACACATGTTTGAATCTCGGTTTAATCATCAAATGTGCATTAGACTGTGCCAGCAGAAGCCAGGAGCCCTTGTGTTGTCTAGTTGATTATGTGTAAGTGAATACATCTCAACCTTTTATGTGTTTGAGCTTACAATTCATTTAACATTGACGTAGATATTTCAAGGTAAAAAAAAAAAAACCAAAAACCCATGACTAAAATCACTTTAAAAAGTTAAGCCATAAACTAGCCACAAAATAGTTTACCCAGAACAGGAATTGCCCTATTCAACTATTATTTTTGTCTGTGGGAAAAAAAAAACATTAAACACTCTCCCCCAAAAAAGACCCCAAACCTCTTTAAAAACAAAGCATATAAATGTAACAATGATTTAAATTGGGGAGTTACTGTAACTTCCCAGAAGTGATTCTTAAGAGTTTTAATTCTTAGTATGTGACAAAGGTTCATTTATGTAGTAAAATAGAGCTAGCATTTCAATACAAGTATGCAGTGCTGGCACACAATAGGAGTTTGGCAGTCATCTGTCCCTTAGCAATGCTTTTTTATTACTCAGAACATTCCTCTGGGCAATAGGGGACTGAATTAAATTCATTATGAACTTTATTGGGAAGGATTTTAAATACATGCAAATGTCTGGTAGCATAAAGAGGGCTTCCTTCTCCACCTTTCCAGGTTTTGCTTGTTCTTCCATTGAATGGATTTTTTTTTTTTTGTCTTTCTGCACCTGAGCACTTAAATCTGTCTCCTTTTATAGTTTAACAGTTCCTCTCTAGCTTGGCCACTGCCAGCCATCCCACAAAACTTGGAATTGTTTACAGAATTATAATCGTCACTAGGAAATGCCAATGGCATGCTTCCTTTGGCTGCCATAGCTCATTAACCCGGGTTGGCACGGTGACCTCATGCACCCACGCCTTTGCCCGCGCCACTTCACGCCGGCTGCCCTGGTGCATC